TGAGCGGCTGGCCTCCCCTAGTTCCCTCGCTTCCCCCGCGCAAAGGTAATCTCTCAGAGATCGAATGGTGACTCAGATAATCTCAACTCACCTGCGCAAAGAGAACAAAGCAACACATTTTTCACGGTCACTATTACCGAACGATCATCAAATGTTCGACATCTTCGAAGCACTCTTTGACGCGCGCGCGCGTGTGCGTGCGTGCGTGCGTACGTCCGTTAAAAAGTAAAATATATATATTCTTTTCTTTCTTTCTTTCATTTCTCTCTCTCTCTCTCTCGCTCTCTCTTTCTCTCTCTCTCTCTCTCTCTCGCAATCTTTCTCTCTCTCTCGCTCTCTATTCTCAAATATCGTACGAAAAAGAACGTACGTCACACTCTCGATATCATTTCTGTTTTCCAAATTTTGTATTGATCTCTTTCAATCTCTCTCTTTCTCTCTCTCTTTACTCGTCAATCTTTCTGTCTCTCGCTCTCTGTCCTTTTTCGTTTCGATATTGCTTTCTTTTTTTCGTCCTTTCCCCTTCCGTCTTGTCCATTTTTCTTTATCCTTTTCTTCCTGTTTCATTTCTTTATTTTTCCAATCTCTATCTCTTTCTCTCTCTCTCTCTCTCTCTCTCTCTCCTCTGCCGTGAAAACTCAGCTAGACAACGAGAAGAACGCAAGAGAAGGCGGAAGCGATTAACCTGCCGACGTTCGTTGTCCGGTTTTAAAGAACTACGCACATTTTTGGTCTGTTTTCGGTTTTATTTTCTCTTGTTGTATCATCTATCCACTTCACCGCGGTCTGTCACTCGCAAACGGCGCAACGCAGTACTGTGTTCAACTTCCTTACAACGAACGAACATAAAAAAAATAAACCAGCGTTTTAAATAAAAATCAGAAAAAAAGTAAGCACCGCTAAAAGCTGGCTCCACCCCCTCCTTTTTACCAAGTGGCCAATGGCAGCGAAGCGTTTCTCATTCGTGCGGTGATATAATATGTATATGCGCCTATGTGTGTGTGAGTGTGTGTATAGGTTACTATATATATATACGTATATATAAAAAAATGTACATATACGTATATATAGACACACGATAGCGCGTACAGAGCACACAGCACACACACACACAGAGACACACGCACACGTGTGTAAAATAGGATTGAAAAAGGGGTGAGTAAAAGTGACAGTAAATAGAAG